CGCTCTGACCCAAGCACAATAAATTAAAATAGTGGGGGTCATATCTTCAATTTGAGTTCTAGGTTTTTGCAGAATGAATTGAATGTACACAGCCTCCAGACCCTGAAATTAAGAACAGAATCTGATTAAGACCTCTGACCATGGCTGTCATGCTAGAGATAGGCCTATTTTCAGGAAATCTCATACATGGGTCACTTTTTGCATTGCTGCTGCTTTAGGAATCATTCATTGCAAAGAAAAATACAAAGAAAAATACCCACTTAGTGTATCCTTCATATTTGAAAGATTAATTACACTGATGTAAAAAAATTTGGTATGCTATGCACCATTCCCAGAATGGATCATTGGTCTTTCCCAGCACAACACAATCAGAACTGTCCATCATCACTTGAATTTGCGTGTTTAGTTTAGACACACACAGTGCTGGATTAAAGGCTCAGTTTCAGTACAGTTATATGAAGAACGGAACTTCATCCAGCCATGAATCTCAAGCCTAGTGATGCTCTAACCAATCTCTATCGCAGATTGAAAGCTTCTATCACAGTGATAACTGGAGAAATCAAAGTGGAAGAGTACTTAAGTATCAGAAAAAACTGGTGTGTTCACCAGTGGAAAAAGAAACAGTACTCTGACAAATACCCATAACATGCCTATAAATTGCTTTACTGAGTTGTAAATGGACTACAGTAATCTCTTAACAGCAGAGATGACTCAGACATGAGTCCTGATAAAAAAATGCACGAACTCACATACTCTGACGATTTAAAGCATCACAAACAGTAAGTACAGTGCTGCACACAAACATTGCATAGACACTGTTGTTACAATGCTACTTTTTTGATATTTGAGGTAGAGGCAGATTGTATCAGATCCTCCAATATGAAAGGACTGGAAATGTCTGAACACCCCTGAGTCCTCAAAACACAAGAGTGATTTAAAGTAGTAACCCAGTCATCTTTAAGGTCACATTCAAGCTGCTGGCATATCAGAACACTGTTCATGTTTTGAAGAGGGATCATTTATCCAAAAAGTTAAGTCCTATATAGAATTAAGAAAAACGTAGTCCTGTTTCTAGAGCAACAGGTTTAAATCCACATTTATGGGCAAGGTGAGAAATAACACTTTTCAGTACACACATCCAGAAGAAGTTGTCTTGACCATCTTTTGAAGTTGTGTTGTAGAGCACTGTAAACCTTCTCTCTGCTGCAGTGACTGTACTATTTCCAAGTACTAAGTAAACAGACTACTTCAAACATGACGGAGGAACTTAGCAGCTTCAATCAACT